GCACGTCCACACGGCCCAGCTGGGACCGACTCATTTGTGCAACGGGGACCCCAGACCCTGACCCGGACATTCTGAACCTTCTAAGGCATGTGTTCAGACACCACAGTTTAGCAGGTGATCCCTTAGTTTACGACAAGAGACTTTTGCAGTATTCTGACCATTTCGTGAAAAGAGCCTCGGACCTCAGCATGGAAGGAATGGAACCCTGGAGGCGCCCAAACGCAGGATCCCATGGGCCACCCTCACTCACATTTCTGCAGCAGCTCTGCCCGCAGAGTGGCGCTCTTGGGTTTCCGCTTTAGCTGAAAATGCTTCACTGGGGGAGTGAGGGGTCCCGCCAGGGTCGTCAGGGCGTTCTTGTTCAAGTACTGGCACTCCAGCGGCAGCATGGCCGATGTTTCACACTCACTTGCTGCGCGAGGAGAAGCACATGAAGGTCAGGAGGTCCACGTCCGGCCCACGTACAGTATCCCCGCCCGCATGACAAGACAGCCCCACCTGTTCGCTGCCTAGGCTGCAACCCGGGGACCATTCCCCATGTGGTCCTTCAGACTGAGGCCAGCTGCTCCCGCCCACCATGTCCAGGAGCCAAGGCTATCACTGCAGGCTAGGATGCCAAGATGGAAGTCCCACCCAAGAGAGGGCTCATCAGAAGCCCCGGGGAGCTTTTTGAACCATAAATGCCTGTGAGGGAGGATGGAACTGTCTTGGTGGTTCCGTGAGCTGTCAGTCAGCCTTCAGCACCACAGTCGGAGCAATGCAGGTTCATGCAAATATGGTCATTTCCAAAGTGGGCTTCCTGCATTCCTACATCAAGAAACTGGAACAGATCACGCCCCCAAGCCAGAGGAGGGACATGCCTGTGGCTTCTCTCCTGCAGTTCCTCCAGTCTCAGGAGCCTCCAGGGCTCCATTCGTTCCACGCTGAGGTCCCCAACGTGGTGTCTCTCCTGGACCCTGCTGCATTCTGGCCCTCCACAAAACCATGTGGTCACTTAGGGACCAGAGCTCAGAACAAACCCACGGAGGGATAAGCGCTCTCCTGTCCGAGTGCATTACAAAGCCACCTCCAGAAAAAGCACAGACTCACAGGTGATGAATTCAGATGATGACTTCACTACCCTCTGTCATTCCTACCCTGAGGGTCTGTCCAGAGTAAAACTGATGGGGTGGCTGTGGACTTGTTCTTACCAAGCTTGGAGGCATCTGTGTGGTGTGTATATACTCAGAATTCATGTAAATGCCAAAAAAGTACAAGTGTGGGTGAGTGATCACCTTGTAGGAGAACAAGTGTCAGCTATTTGTGGGAACAGCCATGCCACAGCCCTTTCAGGGTGCACAGCATCAATTTCTCCAAGCTACAACTCCGTCTCTGCCCTCGAAGAAGCCAGGCTTGAAGTCTGAGTTTCAGGGCAGCAGCTTCCAATTCTCCAAAGCAGGAGAGCAACTCAAGAGGCTAGACATCCCAGTGGTCAACATCTTGCAAATCTACCTGCGAATACTGTTTGTGGCTTCAGGTCACATTCTGCATAGCTGAATTGTTGGTGTTTTCTACATACATTCTGAGCATCTACTGTGGTCCAGGCAATGTTCCAGGCTCTGGAGACACTACCTGATGGGTAGAGCCCTTGCCTCCTCTGAGCTGATGGGGAGAGATGGTGAGTGGACGAGAAACCTGTGTGCACACCCAACTTCAACAGAGTCAGGCGTGAGGCCTCTGGCTGCTGCACTCTGTTTTTTTGTTTGTTTGTTTTTGAGTCAGACTCTCACTCCGTTGCCCAGGCTGGAGCGCAGTGGCACGCTCATGGCCACCCCAGCATCAACCTGCTGGGCTCAGGCGATCCTTCTGCCTCAGCTTTCCAAGTAGCTGGAACTATAGGCACACGCTACCACGCCTGGCTAATGTGTGATTTATTGTAGAAACGTGGTCTCTCCAAGTTGCCCGGGCTGGTCTCGAACCCACAGGCTCAGGTAATCCACTTGCCTCGGCCTCCCAAAGTGCTGGGATTATAGGCTGAGTCACCGAGCCCGGCCTGGAGTCTGTTTTTAAAGATGAGCAAAGACCCAGACAGCAGCACGTGAGGAGGGGCGACGTGTACAGAGTTAACATTTTGGAATGTTGCAGTACACCACACAGCAAACAGCATGACACCCTAAAAACCAAATTCATTTCTGCAAACTGTTTAAAGGAAGACTCATCTCCTTCTTCCCAACATAAGTTAAAGCCACACAACATACCCTTTTCTCTAAGTTCTCCCAAAATATCTTGAACATTGGGATTCTGCTCCTCAAGGTCCAGGTTCAGCGATCCTGTGTCAGGAAAGGACTTCAGAATGTCGGCGACCATGAGTACCCATGGGTCTGAGTCAAGGCTGGCGAGCTGTATGATCTCCATGAGGGCACCCTTCATCTGTGAGAGAGAGATGCAGCGGCTCCCACCAGCTCTCCCTGCCCTCCTGGGGCCTACAACCCAGCAAGAGGCATTATGCCCAGCCCACCTCCAAACCCACGACTGCCGGAGCTTCTGCTGGGTACAGGGCAGGGACAGGCCTCAGGCAACCTCCCTGGTTCCCACAATTCTTCCTGTGGGCTCCCCTTCCTCTGCATCCCACCCCAGATCATCCCACTTCCCAGACACCAGTGTTCATAGCACCCAGTGCCTCCCCACGGCCTTCCTGACAGTTCCTGTAGCTCCCAACCCTCTGGGCCTGCTCCCTACTGCTGTGCAGAGGTAAGAATTCCACAGACCGAGAAGGCAGGGCCGCAGCCACCTCATTTAGGAAGCCTGCTGCTGGTCTTTCTGGGCATGAAGAGCTGGGCCCAGGCCAGCAGTGGGAAGCATGAGGCAGGGTCTGAGTCCCCTGTAGTCACTCAAAGGAAGGGGTGTGTTCCTGGAAGGCAGAGGATGGGGAGTCCCAGGATCCTGGTCAGCCCCCGTGACAGTTGAGCTAGTGCCTGGTCCATGAAGTGACTCACCAGCCATCGGAGTCAGAATGGCTGTCTCGGGGGCTAGAGGGAGCTGGGCGGGAGCTGGAGCTGGAACTTGGAGAGCAGCCAAGCGGGCATTCATGGAGCTGCTGGAGAACCCAGGACCTAGCAAAGCCCCTCCCCTGGCCATGTGGACAGGTGCACATGCAGAGGGCCAGGGCAACACGGGCTGAGGAAGCTGGTGCATCCCTCAAGGCCTTAGAGGCTGGATTCATAGTTCCAAGGAGCCCAGGCCTGCCAGGCCTGCTTTGGTCACAAAAATCCCTCCCATATAGACATGTAGAGAGCCACGTGCCTGACATTGCTGCTCACAGCACAAGGGACATGGACTGGTTGTCCTTGGGAGTGAACAACAGCGTCCTGTCCTGTCCAGGCATCTGGGCTGAAAACTGAGTACAACGCCTTCTCTATGCCCCCTCCCCACTTCAACTACCAAAGTCCCATCCTAAGAGGGTTGCGACCGTTACTGTCACCACCAAACCACCATCCTCCTGGACAACTTGTTTTTTTAGTCAGAGTCTCACTCTGCTGCCCAGGCTGGAGTATAGTGGCACACTCACAGCTACTGCAGCCCTGACCTGCTGAGCTCAGGTGATTCTTTCACCTCAGCTTCCCAAGTAGCTGAGACTACAGGCACGTGATACCATGCCAGGCTCATTTTTTTTTTTTTGAGTTAGAGTCTCACTCTGTCGCCCAGACTGGAGAGCAGTAGCACGCTTTTGGCCACCACAGCCTCGACCCGCTGGGCTCTGGTGAGCCCTCCGCCTCAGCCTTTCAAGTAGCCAGAATTGCAGGCGTGAGTCATTTTTAAACTTATTGTAGAGAAAAGGTCTCACCAAGTTGCCCAGGCTAGTTACAAATGCCCAGGTTCAGGCAATCCTCTTGCCTCTACCTCCCAAAGTGCTGGGATTGCCCGGGATTACAGGCATGAGCCACCACACCCAGCTCCTTGTCTTGTTTTTAATTTTTGAGACAGGGTCTCGTTCTGTCACCCAGGTTGGAGTACAGTAGCACAATCTTGGCTCACTGTAGCCTCAAACTTCTGGACTCAAATAACCCTCCCATTTCAGTCTCCAAGTAGTTGGGACTGCAGGCGTGCACCACCATGCCTCTCCGTGCCCGGTTTGTTTTCCGTTCTGCAGAGACAGGTTCTCACTCTGCCACCCAGGCTGGAATGCCGTGGTGCAGCCCCGGCTTACTGCAGCTTCTAAGGCCTGCCTTCAGGCAACCCTCCCACCTCAGCTTCCCAAAGCACTAGGGTTACAGGTATACTCCGCCACACCCGCTCTCCTGGACAACCAAGACGCCTGCAACAAGGCACTCACAAGCCAAGGGGGCCTGAGGTTGCCCAGAGCTGGGAGCCAGGCCTGGGACAAACTCTTGGCCGGAGCCTTGGCATGCTCGGCCCTGTAGCGCCACAACTCTTGACCATTCAGACGTTCCAGCCTTCAGCTGCGCTGCCTGTGCTACTTGGCTAGAACAGCCCCAAGAAGACAACAGCTTACCAGGAGGCAGTGGAATCTGCATAGTATTCATAAAAATGGTCCAGATTAGAAAGTTAGCAATGCTAAGCACAAAAATACCACTGCTGTAGACCAAATATCTGTACCCCTCAACAACTTGTATGTCGAAGCTGGTCTTACTTTGTGCTAGCTGCTATAACACAATACCACAAAGTAGGAGGTGCATGAACAGGCGTCGACTTCTCACAGTCCTGGAGGCTGACATCCATAACCGAGGTGCAGCTGGCCCCGTGCCTGGTAGAACCCACATCCTGCTTCACAGATGGTGCCTCATCACTGTGTCCTCACACGGGGAAAGGGGGATCAAGCCCCTGGGTACGCTTACAAGGGCACTCAGCCAATTTATACAGGTTCTTCCCTCCTGAATTAACCTCCCAAAGGTCCCACCTGGTAATACCATGACCTAAGGGATCAGGAATTCAACATATGAATCTGGGGGGAACATAAACATTCAGACAACTGAAAGTCCTCATCTCCAATTGATGCTAGTTGTCCCTCGGTATCCACAGGGGACTGGTTCCAGGACGCCATCAGATGCCAAAAACCACAGACGCTCAAGTCCCCGATATAACACAATGTGGTAGTTGCATACGACCTACACATATCCATCCAAAAGCTTTAAACCATCTCTAGGTAACCTGTAATACCTAATACAACACAAATGACATGTAAATAGTTGTTCCATTGTATTTTTTAAATTTACTATGTTGTGATTTGTATAACATTTTTAAAACATATTTTCGACATGAAGTTGCTTGGAGTCACATAAAAAGAAGGCCCGCTGTATCTCAGTAAGGGGTTTTAGGGAGGTGACTGGGTCATGAGATCCGCCCAACATGTGAGGACACAGTGAGAAGCCCTCTGCTGGCCAGGAAGAACACTGCCCAGTCCAGAAACCGACTCTACACCTTGACCTCACACTTCAACCTCCAGAACTGTGAGAAACAAATGGCTGTTGTTTAGGCCTGGCTGTGGTCCTATCATGGAGGCCGTGCTGATTAAGCCACCCAGCTTTAAACTAAACTAAACCTTCCACAAGAATCCTGCCTTCTGCTGGATTCTCATGAGTGAACCCCCGCTCTGCGCATTTAGTGAGTCAATAGTTCGAGATCCGCCTGGGCAACTTGGCGAGATCTCATCTCTACAATAAATCAAAAATCAGCCGGGCATGGTAGCGCGTGCCTGTAATTCCAGCTACTCGGAAGGCTGGGGCGGAGGATCGCCAGAGCCCAGCAGGTCGAGGCTGCGGTGGCCGGGAGCAGCCACTGCACTCCA